ATTCAAGAAAGATGCATCTCACAACTTCCTGGTGCCTATCTTTATTTTGTCCTTTATTGTAATTTGGGGTTTTCATATAATAGAAACCATGTGATATGTAAGCTTGTGTGTCCTCTTTATTTCACTTATTGTTATGGACTCAAGGTGCTGCCATCTTCCTACAAATGACTCAAGCTTATTTTTATGGAGTGTTCAAATAGTAAGTGTTAGGAAAGTCACTTTGTGCCCATTTCTCAGAGAGCTAAATTGTATCTGAAATTCAAAACAAGAAATGGACATATATAGTCAAGTTTTTACTGTCACATTATATTTAATATTTCACAAATATGAATATGTGGTTTAACACTTAAAAACACCTTAAATATGTAGATTTATGCTAACTTAAAATCATTTCCAATAAGTTATTCTCTAAGAATCTGGTCAGAGTTTATGAATTATACAAATTATTTTGAAGTGAATGCATTTATGGCTCATATTATATCTTTCTGTTTCTTAAAAACTGAATGTGAGGGAAGTGTGTGGCTAGGCTTAAGAATGGCAAAAATAAAGTAAATTAAATAAAATTTGAAGGCTTTATCTTGTAACTATTTTAGAATGATCCGGACCAGACTAATCTTCAAGTATTAAACACTTCAAAAATCTAAAAAATACATGGAAAAAAAAGAGAATGCTTTTCAGATTGTTGGCTAGGAAGCAAGGAACAGCGAAATGAAGATTTTCTCAGAAAGACAGACATTTTCTGTTGAGAGTTTGTCATTATAGATACTACAGGAAATTTTCAAGGATGTTCTTTAAGCAGAAGAAGAATAATACTAGATGGAATATTATTTTCTTTTTAGAGGGATGAAGGATACCAGAAGAGATATTTGTGTAGATAAATATATAGTACATGTTTATCCTTCTTATCAGAAAACAGCAAAATAAAATTAAGGAAATATACCAATATGATATACTGTTTATGAGATTTGTAAAATTAAACTGGGTAAAAATACAATATGAAATTGTGATGGGACAATGATAGTTCAGTATGTTGTTCTTACGTACATACTAAATTATTGATATATAAAACTAAATCTTCAAAATATTTGTTATATCAAGTGGAAAAGAAATGAATGTCAGGATTCACTTCAATGAAAAGTCAGTTTGGTTTGCATAAATGGAGTTTGACATTTGTAATAAACACCTGTGATTTTTTTCGTGAAGGAAATGTCTAACACAGAATTTTACAAATCTACAATAAATTCATGCAATAGTTTATGCTTGTTAAAAGAATAAATATGCATAGGGATTTATCATCTTATTTCAGAATGGCCTATGGTTAAAAAAATCTACCAGATTCACAACTTCTACTTCTGACTTCCAAATCCTTTCATATTCATATGAAAAGACTTTTTTTCTAGTTGCTTTTGTGTAACTAACCCTAATTATTACATTTAAAGATTTGCTTTCTAATTTATATTAGTCATATAGAAATTTAACAATGAAAGATAATGCCAACATATTTTCCTTGCTTGTTATGTTTTCTCCTCCAATAAAAGTGATGACTTTATAAAGGGTTGTTGTATTGACCCTCATCCATAGGATCTACTGCATTTTATTTATTGTCATCTTTCATCCCAGTAGAAATGTTTAATATGACAAATATCAGAAATTGAGAGAGACTCTGTGCAACCTGGCATATAAATATTGAAGCTCAGGACTAAATGGTGAGTAAAATAGTGAAGTAAACACAATCTGACTATATTTTAATGAAAAGTAGAAGAAATAAGTGTAAATTCCCTAAAGGAAGAGTAGGAATATAGTATTCCTGTCTTGGGAAATTATTGACTACAGAAGAATGAATGAATAAGACATAGTATGGCTTAGATATATATTTCCTGAGACATCTATCAGAATTTTCAAAACGTCAGAGAAAATGAGAAGAAAGCGTCTTTTTTGTTTGTAATTGAGTAGTTTACTGAAGACACATTGCTAAGCAACTAGTAAATTCTGAATAACATTAATAGAATCTGACAGCTGGCAAGTGTAACAGTAAACGAGTTTCTAAGTGTTGAACAACCAACAATAGTATCCCAACTTCTACTATGTAACATATACTCAGTTAATCTAATTTAGGCTGCTTTGGTTAGGCACCCAAAGATAAAGTACTTTGACTGTTGATAGCACTTTCACTTTCTCCCCTAAATTAGAGGAAAAATACTTCTGACTAAAACCCCTCTGCAGCATACTGTTGAATTTCCTGTGTTTCAAATGTGAAATAAATTTGAGAAGCCCCAGCCAGGAGTGAGGTTTCGGTCACACGATCAACACATTCTCATTCACGGTTCTATCTTTTCTTGCATTCTGAACTTGGTTAAGATGAAACCCAATGTTTGAGTTATAGAAAAAAAAAAAACTATAAAATACGTTCCATTTCTAACTTTCTAACTTACTGGTTTTGGAGGGGACAAATAAGCCTCCCGTGGCCATCGTTTTCTTTCCCCCATAAGTTTATTGGTAAATTTTAGGCGTACGTTCTGACCGTACTCATCATGGGGAATTTGTACCTCGACATGATGTATCTTAGTTCTTGTTTCTTCCCAGTCTCCTTTTCTCCCTTGCATCCCTGTAACCCTCCCTATTTACAAAACCTTTTTTCCAGTTTTTCTTTCTTTCCTCGTTTTTTCTTCCAGTACATTCCTTTCCCCCAGTTCCCCTCCCTATTCCCTCTTCTCTGTGAACCTTTTCTTCCTACTTCACATTGTCTCTTACATATTTTATTCCTTGTTTATAATTTCACTGTGTCACACCAGAGAAACAATTTGGTATTTACATGTATGTGTCCCGTTTATGTCACTTAAAAGTATAATCTCAAGTTGCTTCCACTACCAATAAATGTCTCAAGTTTATTTTTACGGCAAAGTCATAATACTCCATCACATTAGAAACCACATCTTTCTTATGTAATCATCAGTTGATGGGCACGTGGGCTGTTTCCAATATTTAGCTATTACAAACTGCTGCTCTAAACATAGGTGTGAATATATCACCGTGGCCTGATGTTTTTAATTCTTTTGAGAAGATACTCAGTAGGGGAATAGCTGGGCCGGATAGGACCTCTAATCCTATTTTTTGAGGTGTCTCCATATTGATTTCCATGGTGGTTGCACCAGTCTGCACTCCTATCAACAATGGAGAAGGGTTCCTTTTTCCCCACAATTATTGGTTGATTTCTTGATGAAAGCCATTCTTTCTGAAATGAGACAGAACCTCAGCATTGTTTACATTCGCATCTCTTGAATGACCAGTGATGCTGAACATTCTTGCATATCTGCTATGTTTGTAGCAAAGACTATGGTTTAGGCATTGTGAGGGTATGGGCAAGGGCAAATGTGAATGGTGACATTTATTCCAGATGTTCTTTAGGTGGCTATAATCACTGATAAATTTAGCTCACAGTGGAGATCAGGAACAGACAACAGTGTGAACTAGTTGTTCTAAAATTAAATTTCTAGACTTCTGTGAGCACTAGGCATGAATTTAGGGACTACAAGGTCCAATCTAATTGATGACACTTTTAATCTAATAACTTAATAAGATATTGTTTTCATATTTGGTGTGTTAATTTTGGCATACCTGGTACAAGAACATAGGTGGGCACAGTTGACAGCTACTTAGCATGACTCAAAAGACTCACGCATTCGGACTAGAAGTTACTGTATTTTAAAACGTTACTACAAGAAAATACACTCTAAATATGTTTTGATGAAACAGTAAGATAATTAACTTTCTCATATCTTGAGCCTTCAGTTAGAGATGAGTGACACATTGGGAAAGAGAGGACACACACTTGTGCACAGAAGATAAATCCTTATCTTGAGGACAAAAGCATTTACATGATGGTTTGATTTACCAGTTGAATTAGCGGATTCATTTCATGAAATGCCACTTCCACTTAAAATAACTGACAGACTAGCTATGGTATTCAGAAGTGGACCTTTAGCAAACAATTCTTAAAAATACTTCAAGAAGTGAGATTGCCAGTTCAAAGGGGGATCTTATAAATAATACACTGTTTTAGAAAATATTTTCATACATATCTTATTATTTAACATAAAAATTTTTATTTTATTAAAATTAGCAAGGGCCGGGGATTTAGCTCAGTGGTTTGGTGGCTTGCCTTGCAAGCGCAAAGACCCGAGTTCAATCCCAGGTACCAAAAAAAAAAAAAAATTCACATACAACAGAAATGTTATCAGTTTAAATTCCACGTTAGATATCATTATAAATTAATAAATATTAATACATTTAACTCATAAGAAAAGTTCTTTGAATTCTTTCTAATTTTAAGAGGGGAAGTAAATTCTGAGACTAAAAGATATTCATTGTGTAGATGACTAATTTTTCTAGTCCTATGAAAAAAGCAAACTGGAATTCACACAACTGAAGAAAAACTGAATAATAATATTTTGTGTCTTCTGTTGAATTCTCTCTTATGCTAATGGCATAAGTGTTTCTGAAACATTTGTGTTATAGGGATGAATTTACCACTATAAACAAAACAGAAGTTTGATGTTCAGTCCATCGCTAATGATAAAAGCAAAGGTATTTTTAAAAGGATATACTTTTATATTGAGTTTAGTCAACAGGTAACAGTGGTAAGAAAAAAATATTAGTGAGTGACTATTCAAAGATTAAAGTTCTCATAATTTTTGTTCCTTAAATATAATAATTATCCTGACAAATATGCAGATTTTATAAAAAGGAAAACATACAATGTTTGGATTTTCATTTTATGGTTACTTTCTAATGATACTGATTATATAATAAATCCTAGAAGTAAGGTGACATTAAATTGTGTATATTCCTCATTTTATGTATATTAGGATGTTTTGTCATCTTCAAAACTTTTCTGATTGAGGGCAGGCAGTCCCTTCAGGAGTTAAGCCATTTTTAGGCACTGATCTTTCTGCTGGGAGTATCTCTTTGATCCATGCACACCAGTGAATTTAGAGACATACCTCCTTTTTCTCCTGTATAAGTTCTAAGAGACGATGTTTCTGTCTCAGTCATCCAATTGACAGGCCCTTGTTACTGAAGCACTCTCCTGTAGAGTCCACGGAAGCTTTCCAAAGAAGCTCATCCTGAACTCTTCACCCCGACCTGACTCGACTTTCCTATGGAAGTTCATTCACTCAAGATGGCGGCTTAGGCTCTCCCCTCAATCCCGCCTTCAACAAACACAAGTTCTTCCTGAGCAACACTGACTAACACTGGTGCTTCCCCTGAGCTCTGCATGCTCTGCTAGGCCTACTGCTTTTAGGTAAAAAAAAAAAAAAAAAAAAAAAAAAAAAGAAGAAGAAAGAAAAGAAAAAGCTTTATTTTTTCTGAGTCTCTCTGTTTCTCCTTTTATGGCTGTACCTGAATGACCATCAAATAAAAGAACAGAGAGCAAATAAACATATTTCAAATTGCCTTTAAAAAGGAATTACTGCTTCTAAAATTTATAGAAGACGCATTATCATTATTTCTCTCCCCAAATCAAACTAAACTTTCCGAGCATTACACATAGAACACTCAGAGAAAGGCCCCGAGAGGTGGAGAAAGGGGGAAAAAGCCCGTCCGTGGGTCTCCATAACAGATCTCTCAGTGGTGGGTCCCTGCGTTTTCCTCATTTCCCACGCGTCTCCAAAGCCTGCAGCTTAAATATCCCAACAGAGAAAGAAAGCCTAGGCGGAAGCCTATTTCCTTTAGGCAAAAGGCTCAGAAGAGGCCACCTACTAAGACAATACTTTTTTATATACAATAACCACACTATTTTTATCAAAGACTCCAAAAAAAAAAAAAAAAGGTGCTAATGCTGCCTTAAGAGGCCTAGATTTTCACGTTTAGAGGAACAATGGACATCTCAATATCTCACAGAAAGTTGATAGTCCTGTTGCTGGGACGAAATAATCTATACTCACAATTTAAAGGGATGTTCAATTTGGCTCACTGTTCAGTCCACGGCTGGCTGGCTCCAGAGCGGAAATGACGTGGTAGAAGGGCGTGACAGAGGAAAGCTGCTCACTTATAGCAGCCGAGAACTAGAGGGGAAGTAGGGATCAGCCAGGGACAGATGCATCCTTCTAGATCACACCTTTGGTGACACCCTCTTCCTTCCAAACCTCAGCTTCTCATAGCACATATTGATGTGAACTGTGGCACCCTCACGATCAATTTCCAAAAGCCCCACCTCTGAACACATGAGAATTAGGGGAAGGGGTATCTGTAAACCATATTAATTGGGAAGGCTGGAATTTTATCCTTTCAAGTAAATAGAAATCTAAGTGGTTTTGTCAGGGGCTATGTGGAAATCACAGCTTCTAACTTGGTAGTACTGAAGTCACTCTCTTCCTTCTCACTAGATTGGTGTCAATGGGCAGGTAGTGGAGAGTTAGGACTTTCGCCGGGGCCCGAAGATAACAAGGAACCCTTTCCTCATAGTCAGTTGGTGAGCAGGAAGGAGACAATCCTGTCCTTCTAGAAAAGGAGACCAGCTTGGAGAGGAATCTAAAGCACTTTCCAGAAGTAGAGAAGAAATGCACCTTCTCAAATATGGAATACACTTGCCTGCCATTTGAAAGCAGTGAAGTTTTTTATTCACCCACTTCAGTTCTTCTACAGAGCAACATCAAAGGTAATCAAGTAAAATAGACAATTTATATGTGACTCAGAGTCCCATAATAGCTTTCATAAAAGAAAAAAAGAAAAAAGTCACAGTGGTCACATAAAGTACCAGTAAGATATACTCTCTGTAAATAAGTGAATAAAGTTATACATAAATTAAAAGATAGCTGCTAACAACAGCTGGGATTGTGGAATTTTATAATGAAAATTGTAATAAAGCCTTCATAAAAATATTTTGATGGGCCAGGGATTTAGCTCAGTGGTTCTGCCACCTATCTCGCAAGCACAAGGTCCTAAATTCGATCTCCAGTAACAACAACATCAACAAAAAATGTTTTGATGATAATTTGAATGAATAAATGGAAAACAGAAAGTATCAACTATTAGATTGAAAATCTCAGCAAATTATAAAGAACAAATAAGAAATTAGAAACTAAAAGTTTCAGTAACTGAAATTTTAAAAACTCAGTAGACTGATCCAGCAATAACGAGGAAAATAATCAATGAACTTGAAGGTAAAATAGGAAAAACTAGCCAGTTTGAACAAAAACAGAACTTTTTAAATCTAGGTTCAAGCACCTGTGAAACTGTAAGAAATTCTAATTTGTCTTTAATTTCATTAAATTCTCTGAATTATGAAAGAGAAATTGACAGGCTTACAAAGTACTCCAGGAAATAATGGCTTAAAATATTTCAAATCTTGTTAAGGATAAACCTTTAGCTGTGTAAACTTCATACATGATAAACCAAAATAAATCTAGGTGGAAGCACAAAAAATAAATGGTACTCTCCATGCAGAGAATCGAATCACTACTCCTCCAAATAGCTTAAAAAAGTGCTATGACAAAAGGAAAAAATAAAAAGAGTAAATGTGTAGCCCCTTAAAGAAGGAAGATGGAAGCAAATATATGGGTGAATTGGTTTTTCTTTTTAATTTTTAAAATTATATTTGATGGTTGAGTGAAAATTGCCATAGTATCTGGTTAAAAAAATGTACAGCAGATACCAGTAATGGCAAACCTATAGCACGAGTGCCATAGCAGGCTATTTGTTATCAGTGAAAGCTCTAAAAGGTTCACTATCACTTATATATATCATATTACATCATATCACATATATTATATTGTGTTATACTGATATTATATTATATATGATATATTATGTGATATATCATATATTGTGTATTGTATATCATATTGTTTATGATATACATTATATTATATATAATATATTATGCATGAAGCAATTACATTATAAATAGGGAAATGTAAAAAGGAAGTAGAGGAAAGTAGAATTTCAAGTCCGCACTCTAACTGGGCATATAAAAACAACAATAAACTTTGATAATGTATGCATGCATGTAATGTAATGTGCAGAAAAAACACTCACAAAGGAATAAAACAAATACTCCAAAGCACTATAGATGAATCAAAATAGCACTCCACACAATATTCTACAAGTAGAATGAGATGTGGTAACACACACCTCTACTACCAGCAATAGGGAAGGAAGGTGCTGGAGGAGGATAGCAGCCTGGGCTCCATAGTGAATTTGAGGCCGGCATGACTTACATAGAAAGATCCTGTCACACACAAACACACACACACACACACACACACACACACACAACTTCTACAAACAGGAGAAATGGAAACAGAAAAACACGATGAAGAAATAGAAAACAAGCAAAAAATCAGATTTAATTCTTAATTTGTTGATGATTCAATTAAAAGCAAATGACCTAATTACACCAATGGAAAAGACACCAACAAAACTAAAAGCATGATACAGCTGTGCTATCTACAGAAACCCTTCAAATATATGAACATAGGCAGTTTGAAAGTATTTGTCCAAATATAAAAAGCTTGAAGAGCTATTGACAGTCCATTGTTCATTGTAACATTCATTCGATTATTCAAGGTGCAGAAGCAACTTAATAAATGTCCATCAATACAAGAAAGAGCAAAGAAAAGGTGAGACACACACATAGGTAGGACACTAAGTTGTGTGAAGGAAAACGGTCTCAGAAAGAAACTCCATTTATATAAAGTATCTATAATACTGAAATTCATAGAACATAAGAGTAGAGTGATGGTTACCGGAGACTGGAAGTTACTAAGCCATGGGAATGAAGTATCACAAGCAATTCAAATAAACTCTAGAGATGTGCTGCACATTTCTGCTCTCACAGTCATCAACGAAGTATTAAATACTTAAAATCTCGTCTACATTTTTCTTCCCACAATAAAAGAATAAAAATTTAATTTGACTAAATTTAACTTAGCTTAATTTAAAAACACTTCTAAAAATTTGTTGTTTCATCATATTACAGATGACATAGAAACTTCACAATCATATCAGTTTAACGGAGAAAGCGCATTTAACCAAGTCAAGTAGCCATTTATGTGTAAAAAAAAAAAAAAAAACTCAGAATATTGTGATACAGGGAAACTTGTTCTTTTTGATATTAAAATTACAAATAAATAAGGATAGCATTTATCTGAATTTGAAACTCAATAATTTTCCTGTGATTTTAGAAATAAGATAAAAATGTGTTTTTTAGTCACTTATAAAACATAGGGTTGGCCTTGTAGTTATCATGAAACAAGAAAAAATACAAATTAGAATAAATAAAACTCTTTTCAAAGTAAATGACAGTTGCATAGAATGTAGCAAGAAACCTTCCAAGGAAGAAAAAAAAAAAAACCTTCTAAATTAGTGATTTTACCTGTATATGATACAGGATATGAGATAAAAAATAGAAAAACCAGCTATATTTTGAAAGGCTAGCAATGAAGGCACAGTCATAAAAAATATGTACACTACAATGTGGTATCATGATACAGTGGAAAAGTTTTCAGCTGTCACAAGTTATAATGTGATGATGTTGTTGCAACATGGAAGAAACTTGACAATAATATCAAAGTAAATGAAACTAGACCGAAAACCAGATATTCTAAATTACATTATATTTAGAAAAGTAAATCCATAAAGACAAAGAGCAGATTAGAGCTGCTCGGGGAATAGAGAGAAACAGAAGGGGGCACTAATTGTTTAGTATTTAAATGGTCTACTGAAATTGTTTTGAGAAAAATAGTGACAAAATTGAACATTTTAAATACACTAAAATTCATTAATGGTGAATTTCATGTTATGTGCATTTTTATAAAATTAATCTACAATATGATAATTGATCAAAAATAAGAAAATACTTAAAGATACGTTTCATAGTTATAAATGTATGGAGTGGACCCTTGACTTATGGACTCAATTTGTTTGTGAGGATTGGTTGTGATTCAAGTTGGTCAACTAAAGGTTTGGGCTTCTCTACACAGTCTGTCCTCAAATTGTCTCTCCTGTACATAGGCAGATCTCAGGGTCCTTAGAGAGACATTGGCCCAGGATTTCTCAGTTAACCCCACACAGTATTGGGTGTTGTAATGTTCCTTTCAGAACTCTTTAAAGTTGAATTTGCACCTGAGACCATCTGGAAGGACAAGTGGCTAGCATTTGGGTCATAACTCAAGGCTTTGGTGCTAAGGTAAAACTAAAATTCCGGCCCCGACCCAAGTTATTCATATGTCAAGCCGATTGTAACTAGAGCAATCACTGTAAATGCAAATACGGACATAAAAATGTCTCAAAAATATTAGTCTATAGGGAAATTAAATTAGAATTACAAGGTGATATGATTATACATCTGTCATAGTGAATAAACTAATCACACTAACACCACATCCTAGTGAAAATGGAGAGACTCTGTATCATGCATACACTGATGGTAGAAATAGAAAACAATAGACCCATCCTGGAAAATGGATTGGCAGTGTCTCACAGGCCTACAGCTACTCTACAACCCAGCAATTTAATTCATCAATATATAGGTCCATATAAATGAAGACTTTTGTTCACACAGTACCTCAGACCTAAATATGTATAGTTTATTTATAACGTCTCAAATGTGGAAGCAATCCAGGTGACAATAAAGGGTCAATTAAACAAATGGCAGTTCTTCTATATCTTAAAAGAGTGCACATTAAGAAAAAAAAAACATTTAGATGTGCTGTATACCTAAAAAGAACTAATAAACCTGAAGAAAATAAATAAATGAATAAATAAGAAGAAAAAACACAAAATTTTATGTATGTGAACACCTCAATGAATTTCTGAAATATCAGAGAAACTGATATACAAATAAAAACTGCAAGTAGCACCTTTTGATGATAATTGTAAATAGAATTATCAATATCAAGTTTATGTAATTCAGTATAAAATAATAGAGTTATAGATAGCCATACAAAAATAAAGTGAATACTGCCAGTATTTGAATAT